ACATTAAACAATGCAGGCTTGCAAAGAGCAAAGGGCTGACGCAGAGCAGGACACCTCAGAAAGCTCAGTCTTGACCCAAAAGCAGCTGCACCCACCCCTGCTGGGGGATTTCTAGAGTGTACTGGCAACACAGGCTGAGGAAACAGGGCTTGGCCTCAGGGCTGGAAACTTTTTAATTTATTTATGTATTATATTTATTTTCATCCTTCTTCTTTCAGGCTGCCTCAGTTTCTATGCTAAAGGCACCCTAAAAGCAAAGCCCAGAAGGGCAGCTGGCAGTGCACGCTCCCCCCATCCAGGAGCTGGTTCTCCCAGCACTCCCCTTTTCCCATGAAGCCAGGGCACTCCCGCAGGCCTGGCACTGCTCCCGCTGCCACGTCCGCCCTGTATCCTTCAGCTGAGCATCCAGCTGGAGCACCTCCCCATCCTCGGCTGTGGCAGGACCTAGTGGGACAAGGTTTCCTGCCCAGCAGCATTGGAGCAGCTGTTGGGCATATCTGCATCATAAGTTTATGTAAAAAAAGGAGGGATGAAAGAAGGAAAATCAACTCTGGGGTCGTGCATCAGCCCTGCATGTTTCAGGGCTGGTACCACCCTTGCAAAGGCATGAACCCTGCTGGCCCTGTCAGGCAGGAAGCAGGAAGAGATGGGAGTGGGGTCCCAGTGGCCAGTGCAGGGGGGCAGTGCATCCCCCACCCCAGAAAGGGGAAGCGGTGCCCAGCTGGGGCTCCAGCTGCCGTTCAGTACCACAGGTCTCAGGTACTGAGATGGTGATGCTCACCACTGTGGTGTAGGGTCTGGAAAGTTTTTACATTAAGTTAGAGGAAAAATAACAAATGACCATGGTATGAGGCAGGTTACATGCAGCCCAAGCACTGGGCCTGGTTGCTCTTCCTTGATCCTTTTGAGCTCTGTGGGGAGTGGTAAAGTAAGCCAGAAAACCCTGAGATTTGCAGTAGTTTCACAAATCTCTTACCCAAGGACTAGAGTGGTGGTCCGCAGGGCTGAAGCATGGGATTTTGGCCTCTTTCCCCCTACAGCTTGCGTTTGAGGAAATTTCACCTTTGTTCCAGGAACTGTTCCCCTACTGCTCACTAGGAACTCCTGCGTGGTTTTCCAGGACACTGCCCTTTGTTTTCAAAGGAAATTTCCCCCTTCTTCCCTAAGAAATCCTCCTATTGCTTTCCCTTGCTCCTAGGCAATTTCCTCGTTACTTTCTAGAGCCCTCCCTTGCTTTCTAGGAAACGTCTCTCTGCTTGCTTTCTAGCCCTGACTATTGCTCCCTGGGAAGCAAGAAATTATTTCCCAAGAAATCTCATTCTGCACATCCAGGAAATTTCCCTTTTGATTTCCAGCAATTTCTCCTTTGGTTGCTGGGAAATTTCACCTCTAGGAAATATCACCGTCACTTTCTTAAGAAATGTCACTTTTGCTTTTCAGGAATTTTCCTGGGATTTAAGGACATTTCTAGGAATTTTCCTCTGCTGGTTTCTAGGCTATCTCCCCCTATGGCCTTCTAGGAAGCTCCCCTATTGCTTTCTACAAACTTCCAAAATATTTCCCCTTTTGCTTTCAAGGAACACCCCCATGTCCTCTCAAGGAAATTCCTACATTGTTTTGCAGTCAACTTCCCCTTTCTTTTCCAGGATATTTACTGTAGCTTTCTAGCATAGTTTCCCTTTACTTTCCAGGAACCCCCCCATTAGTTTCCAGGAAATTTCTCTTTTGCTTTTGTAGGGATTTTCCCCCAGGGCTCTAGGAAAACTTCCTCATTGCATTCCAGGAAATATCACCAGCCAAAGCCAACAGACCCAGCTGAGCGCCTGACGGGGTGTACGGCACCTCCACCAAAATGCATTTTGGGGCAGTAAACCACAAAACCCAAACAAACCAGAGCCACAGGAGTGAGGGCGAGGGCATGAGCAAAGGGCAGCGCTGACACGGCTGGAAAGGGCCCCAGGTCAGCAGAGGATCATATGTCAGAGGGACCAGGTAGGACACACAAGCAGTCAACCCACGCTGGCTGCTGTCCCCTGCCCTGGGGAGCAGAGGTGAGTCTCTTTAAGCATATTTATTTACTTTTATTTCTCGATACTGCAATCAGTGCCTACAGGTTTCTGTTAATTGGTGATTAATTAAGCTCATGGGCATTCTCCCAGTTTAGACTCTCACTTTTTTGGCCAGCGGCAGCCTGCCTGCCTGGGGAGGCTTCCACTTGGCCACAGTCACTAGCCCCTGCCACTTCTCCCTGTTCTCCTGACTCAGGTAGAAGTCCAAGCAGCCAAAAATCAGCACCATTCAGGTCACCAGCTCCAACATGGTGTAAGAACAGCTGAAGGATTCAGGAGAAAGGCAGTTTTACAAAGAGGTTTTTAAAAGCATCCAAAAAGACTAGAGCTTTCCCCAGACTTCATCCCTTAACTGCATCAAACTTAACCCTACAACACTAACCTGCACCCCATGTGCCCCCCTGCAGCCATAGGTCACTCAGCTTCAGGGGGCAGCCCGTACAGACAGGAGGGCAAGCAGAAACCCCACTACTTTCACTAGCAAGGTTTCTTTTGGGAACCCTCCTCGTAGGTCACCAAGCAGCAAGGAACAGGGCACCTTAAAAAAAATTAAGAAAAAATAATCTCTCTCGTTTAATCCACCCAAGGAAAATCCAGAGCAAGTGCAGCATCACAGCACCACACACAGCACGGACATCTACCATTATCTTTGCACAGATTTCTTCCTACATACATAGGGAAGTCATTAAGAAAAAAAAAGAAAGAAAATTATTCAAAAATGCAATGTGACAAGTAACATATCAGCCACAGAACAACTTTTTCTAAGAGAAAAAGGATGCATCAAAGAAGAACGCTCTCAATATACAGGTTTTGCAAAAACCTAGCCCAAGAACATTGAAACGCAGGTGGTTTTCTTTTCAACATTAAAAACAGGGATTTTCTTTAAATTTAAATACACATTTGAAACACAAACACCAAGCAAGCGCCTGGAGAACAACGAAAAAAAAGGAATGAATGAAAAGTGAATTCAAGCAATTTAATTTAAACACTAAAGTGAGGTGGATTGCACCAAATGGAATAAATAATGGAGAAGATCACACTGGGTTGGTAGATCTCACACTTAAGATCATTTAAACTAGAATTAATTACAGCCTAAGAGAGTACTGGACAAGGAAGCCCTCTGACAAGCAACCTCAGCTGGGGCAGTGTCCCTCTGACAGAGAGGGCTGTAGGTGTGGATTTGGCCCCTGCCACCCTGCAGTGATCACCGCCCCAGAAGTGAGTGGGATGACGAGTTTTTGTGCTCCAGAGGACTCCACCCCATAATCACGTACATGCAAACAGCTCCTCACTCGGGCTGTGATGGATGGATGTGGCTGCTCCAGTGGGAGGTGGACCTGGCATGGGACTTGGAACCAGGTGATCTTTAAGGTCCTTTCCAACTCAAACCATTCTATGAGTCTATGAACCCCTGCACTTAAAAAAGGAAAAAAAACAAAACAAAACAAACAACTTGAACAAAAATAACTTGATCCCAAGTTCTTCTCCCTCCCCTGCCTGTAGCCAAGCAGTGAAGCACCTTTGGACATTTGTGTGATCCCATAGACATGTTCCCTACAGAGCAGACATCTCATCTCTGCATCTCACCTGGATTCACCTGTGACAGTTAGGAGGGACATCCCTTTGCTTTAAAACAAAAATAATTACAAAATCAGTAATAACAATTCCCTTTCCCTTCCTTTGATCTCCAAGCAGTTCATCTAAGTCCAGCTTGTCCTCAAGAAAGGGAGAAAGGAGGGGTGAAGGTTTCCAGACCAAGGAACTTGCCAGATCCAGCATCTCCGCCACCACGTCTCTGGCAGCGATGAGATGAGCCCCCTTTGCGTAGTGACTGCTCAGGGCGAGCAGAGCCAAGGAGAGGCTGAGGGGACACAACTGCCCCTTGCAGCTCCTCCTCAGACAGCTGGTGACTCCAGGAAAAGAGAGGTACTGGGGTGGATGAGGGTTCAGGTTATTTCTTTCCCACCCCTATTCCTACCCAAGACTGGGAGGAGACTGCTAGGTCTGCAAGCCCAGTCTGTCCTTACCAGTGTCATTAAGAGTAACAATTTAAAAACAAAACAAAAAAAAGAAAAAACACATATGCATAATTAGGTATTGTCCATGGAAGGAGCAGGAGGGGGCAAGTCCCAGACCAAGACAGAAAAGGGACTCTCTCCCTCCCCGCAACTGCTTGTCTGGAGACCACATCCCCTCAGCATCACTGCGCAAACCCTTTGTGCTGTTGCTCTGACATCAAATCAACACAGATGACGAACACGGGGATGAATTCAGCGCTGCAGAGGTGGAAGGACACACGCAGGCGTGCCAGGGCTAGGCCCGGTGCTTGGGGAGCATGTCCAGCAGGAACTCCGCAATGCCGATGAAGTAGACGACTTGTGCAATGCCAAAGAGAGGAGCAATGACGAGGGCTCGGCAGTATGCTCCCTTCAGGAAGGCCATGGGCCCTTCCTTCTTCAAGATCTTCCTGGGGAGAAATGGCACAGGCAGGTAAGTGTCCATCCCACCCCTCCACCATGCCAGGAAAGCCTCTGGCCATGCCCTGGCTTTTTGCCTCCCTCCAGAAGCTAAACCCACGCAAGTGCTGTCACCTGGCACTGCCTCCACAGCAGACCATCCACCTTCACCCGTGTACTCTGCAAATGGCCATTAAAGAACGTGACCCATTCCTACATCTGGCCAGGAGCAAGAGCATCTGCCTAGACATACTAAGATAAGTAACATACATAAGCTAAGACAACCTCATGCTTGCATCAAGAGGCTCCTCTGTTCAGAAGTTGGAGCCAACGCCACCCTCAGTACAGGACACAGCCAGATGGCAAGAGACTTTGGCTACAACAGTAATACAGAAGCAGAGCACGTGTGTTTTGAAACTTCCTTCATGCTTGGAAGCAGCCAGACCACCATCTAGCAAAGGGTCAGAGGAGAGTGTGGCTGGGGACAGCCCACTCAGCCAGTGCTCCTCCAGCTGCTGTTCAGAGCCGTCTCAGGAGGGATACAAGACTTTATGCTGGAGGATTTTCAGACAACAGAGCCTTGGGATAGAAAAGCACAGCATTGCCTCCCTTTGTCAACATAAAATCCCAGTGTTATGCCTGTTTTGGTCAGGGCAGAAGGATTTAAATGCTATGTTTTCCTTCCTCAAAATAGGAAGAGGTTATCTTTTATATACCTCTGTATATACTGATGTCAGAAGGATAGTTAAAAATTTACAAGTAAAAACTTCTAGGCTGAGTGAGCATGATGGTCATGAACCAGGGTAACAAGAATGGAAGGCCCCTAAGATCAAGAATCAGAATGACCCTGAAGGTTAAAATGAGAAACAAGATACAGTAATTAAGAAAAGGACCTAAAGACAGTGACACTCCTGCCAACCTTTGTAGATAATGCTTCTTTGTGGTTTCTTTACATAAACCAGAGACAGATTTGGACAAGGATCAAGATGCAAGGTGTCTGCTACATAACCTTTAGTGATTTTACTACTAATGCTCACATCTCTAGGAGGAGATTTTACATGTAAATGTAGGACCACCTTAGTATAATGAATTAGCTAATTCATGAAGCATGTATACAAGGATTTCTGTGATGTAAAATCACATAACCAATCACATATCATTTCTTTGTTATTGTACTGTATATAACTGCTGCTGTTTGAGCTGTGTGCTGGATTTGCAATTTATTATCCAGCATCCATTTCTGCAAATTAAATAAAGCAAATATCTTGACTCTGTGTCAACTGACTCTGCACTGGCTGAAGAATCCTTATTTTCTGGGACAACAGATGAACAGTACATATCTGGTCATGTCTATGCATCTATCCACATAGATAGATAAAAGCACAGGCTCAGAGGGAACCTGAAAAGAGAAGATGCTGGTTGGGTCTAGAAGCTGTCCTGACTGCCTGGCAGCAGGCAGCAGCAGATGCCGTACACCTGATGTGGTGGCCTGCTTCACGAAGATTCTTACTTGGTGCAGTCCAGGATCCCTGAGTAGGTGTCCTCATTCACTCCTCTCTGCAAAGACTGCAGCCGCGTTTTGATCACTGGGGAGACAGAGAGAAGAGAGAGAGTGGTGAGCACTGGGCACGTAGCAGGCAAGAGCCACCCTGGGAGTAATGTCTTTGAAACACAGTCAAACAAGATCACCAAGAACACAGACCATCTTCAAATATTTATCAGCAACACGGGGGAAAACAAACCAATTTCTTTAAAAATGGATAAAATAAAAACACAGACACCCAAAAACTAAGCCCATCCTTGCACTGTGACCAAGGTTTCCAGGGCAGACTTAAGCTTTAAACACTTCCAAATTCAGGTATCTTTCTGCAAAGTGGGCATCGATTCTCAAATACTCAGCTCCCTCTGAAGAAGTATCTAAAATATACGATGCTTCTCTTACATTTCTTCACACCTTAAAGCAATGTTGGGGACAGAGGATTTACTTTCTGGTGTTTTTCACAGCAGAGAAATCGAGGCAGTATTTAAGGCAGATGCTGTGCAGCAGGAGAAAAGGCCACAAATCTGAGGCTCCCCCTGGTTGTCCATGACTGTATGCAAGTAAATCGTCTGCATACTATCACTCCACATGGAAACGTGCCTCTTCAGGGGCATGTTCACAGCCATTGCTGTGAAGGACGCCCAAAATGAATGGCACTCTTCCTGACTTACCTGGTGAGTACTGCCAACTTGTGTAAGCTGTGGCCAAAGGTATATAGCTCAGCTGAAAATGAGCTGGATATGAAGATGAGCTCTCGCCATCCGAGATGGAGGCAGCTCAGACAGCAGACCTCCCCTCCTGTACCTCCCTGGGTGCTCAGGCTGCCGAGAGGCTGGCACAGTCACCCTCCTCCTCACCTAGCCCACTCATGGGCCTCTGACTCCTGTTGCTTGGCACCAGGCCACCAACGCAGGCCACTTGGGACTCACCATCGCAAGGATTGACAGCCACCGCAGCCGTGCTGCCAGCCACACATCCGGAGAGAAAGGACACATAGAACGGAGCCTTGACATTGGGGTCTTTCTGGCCCAGCTTGTTCAGGTTTGCAAACAGTGGGAAGTAAACAATGGAGAATGGAACATCCCTGTCGTGGGGAGGGAGGAAGGCGAAGAAAGAAGAACAAGGATTAACAGAGTCACAACAGGACACCAACTCAGCAACAAAGGAAGGGCTGTGAGCATCACACGTTGGTGGCACAGCCATGAGCGCAACACAGACAATCCAGCTCTGCAAGTGCAATGCAGACAGCAACTGAAACCCAGGAGGGGCAAAACTGACTGCACAAACGACAACAGGCCCACAGGAGCAGCCCTGCAGAGCCAGTGGCCTCCCCTTGATTTTTCAACACTCAAACCAAAGACCCCAGCACATTCAGAGGTCAATTGTTTTGTCCGCTTTCATTAATTACAAGAGGTTCGCATCCTGCCCCTCATTCCACTGCTCATTGCTTTAGCTCTGCTTCTGTTAAAGGCAGAGGAGAGTCACTCTGTGAAAGCCCAGGTAAAGAGTGTCAGAGCAGGCACCAGTCCCTGCATTCAATGTGTTCCATGGACCAGAACCTATTTTGCCCCGGAGACTCAGGCTGACAGTTTTGTTTTGCTAGCTCACAAGGACTTCTCTGCAGAGTTAAAATATGGATCATGAGGGAGACAATAAACCTCCCAGAGAAAGCAGCAGAAATCAGGAACAGAAAAGCAGCCTTCCTCACTTCCCAGACCATCCCTTCTTTAACGTACAAAACTTGTGCATGGAAGCCAAACCAAATCAAACCCACACCCCTTGAAGCTAATACCCTCTTGCTGGCTCATCCCCTACATGGCTGGTGCTTTGGGTTCAAAACTGGGAACACTGGTCCCCTGTGCTCAAGCCCACGCCATCCTACCTTAGCAGCGTGGCTCCCAGGCCCTTGTAGAGTCCCGCGATGCCTTTGCTCCGTAGCAGCTCCCTTGTTATCTGTGTTGCAGTGGTGCGTGTTTCCACAGCTGGCTCTGCTGCCCCCGCCGCAGAGGAAGAGGAGAGCTGGGCCTGTGCTGCCATCAGTTTCTTCTGTGCCGCTGGGAAGGAGAAGAGAGCACTGGTCTGCAAGAAGCTCAACAGCAGCCTCTGGCTGCCTAGTGCCATGGCAGAGGGCAGATCTCCAGAAGCACCCCAACGTGCAGACTAAGGCCAGCCAGATGCTCTGCAAGCTTTTGCTCCCAATCTGCCCATTTCCCTCGGCCTGAGGCAACCCAGCTTGCCCCAGTCTCAAAGCTGGTTGCTGCCACACCACATCACTGTCTGCTGCAGTCTCCTACCAACTAGTTTTACCTAAGCAGGAGCAGCCTATCACACACTGCCTCCATGGAACAGAGAAAAGGAGCTGCCATGAACAGGCAGATGACAGTACCTGCTTCCAGCTATGTCCCCGAACTTCCAGTAGGACAAACTAAAGATGTTAATAAATGAGAGAGGTTCAACAGTTTTGTTCTTTGCTTCTGTCTTAGCTAACCTGGGGAGTTTCTCTGCTGCACCAGGTGTGCCACATTTACACACACAGCCTTTTCAAACTGATGCATTTCTGCTCTTTGGCCAGAAGACGGAGAACACATCAACCTGCAGGCAACGGTCTGGCGGCCACGGGCACACCACAGGTCTCTTGCCACACTGAGAACAGGCTGTTCACAGCAGCAAAAACCTCTTCTTAACCCTCAAACCATGGCTTAATTCCTTCAAACATTTTAAAATAATACATACAAAGAGGATAAGGTCTACATTAAAAACAGCAAGGAGAGGAAAAAAAAGTAAATCTGTGATTATTCAGGAACGCCACGTCAAAGGAGAGATTAAAGGACAAACCAGCCCATTTGCCAGGAAGGGCCAAAAATACGGCATCTAAGGGTGTCCTGCAGGCCTCCTGGGGAACGAGGTCATACCCCAGGCTGACCTCTGGGAAAGATTAAGGCGATAGCAAACAGCTCTTTCCCCCAGAGCCTCCACACCATACTCTGGTCTCTGTTTTCACCAGAAACACCCTGCAGTGTTCCAGCCAAAAGGCTCACACTCCCTTCTGCCTCTTGCTTGCCAGCTCCTGCACGCATTCTCTCCAGTGCACTGGGAGAATTTCATTTACTGTTTCAGCAGAGATAACTGCTGCCTTCGTCAGGACAAAATAAAGAGAGTAACAGGGGAGACAAGTCATTTAGAAAGGACACCAGCCCTTGGGAAGCTGTTAGCGAAGTGCTACGGAGAGGCAGAAGAAAGAGAACAGACATCAGAAAATATGGAGATGGAAGAACCACCACAAGAAAGGCACTGGATGATGCTAATCCCTTCTTGGGCGCACAGTAACTAACATCACTCACAAGCTGACCACCCAGTCATCTCTCCTGTCTCTCCAGCCACCATCAGTATTTGCTACTTCACTTTCCAAGTCTAATAGCTTTGAGCAAAAAATATCACCACTTTTTGTAATTGCAAGGGCCTCTGCAAAGCCAGGCGAGAAAAAGGGTGGGAGGAAATGAGCTGGGAAGAGGAGGAGAAATTTCTGCCACCTCTCTGACTGACCGGGGGGAAAGAAAGGGGTTTTCCTCCACTCATTCCCTCCCCCTCTACCTTGACAGCCTTTTCATCTCTGCCTGCTCAGGGCACAGGGACGAGAAGCCCACGTACCAATACGTCCCGCATCTTGCAGCTGGATTTTGAGCATCTCCATGGGAGTGGTGACTATCACCTGGCAGGTACCTGCGCCGCAGCCTGCCAGCATCTCCCTCAGTAGCGTCAGCTTTTTCCTGCCCAAAGAAAAGAGAGAAATAGTCAGGAGGTGGCCTGGAGTAACACTGGGGCAGCAGGGTGCAGGGGCTCAGAGCACACCTCTGATCCTGGGGGTTACAGTAGAGGCAGCCCATGGGATGAAGGAACCTGCTAGGCTCAGCATAGCCCAGGCTTGGCATCTCTGCCAGCATCACCTGATCTGGAGGAAGAGTCCCCTTTTGGCCCCAGAAACAGAACATCCAGAAAAAGTCACAAGCCCAGCCAGAACAGCCCCAGATGGGAACACGGAACCCTCTCCATCCCCACACAGTGAGCTGCAGCACTCTTCCAGCCTGGGATCATCCCCAGTCAGGGCACAGCCTTCAGAAAAGGTATTGCTGCAGAGGGCAGCAGAGGTCCTGAGCATTAAAAGGGACAAGCAGTTTTCCTTCTGCCAGTCTAGTCTTTAAAGACTGACAGCATTCCCACAAACAGACATCGCAGGGCAAGGAACAAAGGGGGAAAATAGAAGAGTTGCTGCTTTGGAATTCTCTGACAAAAGCAAAATAAACAAGCAGCGAACGTGAGAGTCAGGAAGGCAGCTCCTCTGCAGTTAGGAGATTTTTCACTTCACCAGCCTTCCCAAACCTCAAAAAGTAGCCTTTGCACTAAACTGGTCCTACCTGGGGAATAAGGGATGGGATGGACTCCCAGCACTGGAGCTTTGTGCATCCTCTGCACTAGAGAGTAGGGATTATCAGTGACATGTTTTTGCCTAGTAAAATGCAGCATTTCATAGCTCCCTTCATCCCAAAGCCATGAAGCAACTCAGTTAAGAGTAAAAAGAGGAACTCAGGCTGCAAATGCTCAGAAAGACTTGATTTTCAGCAACCAGTAAGTTTTCAACCTGTAAAAAAAAATCTCACCTCTTGACACTAGAAAAAACTGAGTGAATTAAGAAAAGAAGTGGCTCTGATCTGCTCTTTTCTAAAGAGGGGGGAAGCCCACAGCCAGAGGGAAACAGCCTCCTCTTTTTTCTGTTTTAAATGCAAGTACTATTTTTACTCCCCCAGCCCTGCTCGTGCAGCAGTACCACATCTTAACACACTCAAGGCAAGTTCCCATACTATGGGAAAAGCAATCCCACATTATATGCCCTATTCCCCTGTAAAACAAAGCCACACTTCCTTACTAGGGTTTCATCTGCACACACACACAGCACAGCTGCGGGGCTGCGGGTCAGCAAAGGAGTTTCAATGCCAACCCTACAGGAAAGGGAGGGGAGATGTGCCATAATCCTGCTGGCCCATCACGTCAGCTGGGCCAATTTCTCCACCTCTCATCTTCTCCAGGGAGGATATCAGCGCAGGGGATTAGAGGCACAGAGCCCCAGCAGAGATTACCAGTGACTAAATATAGAGCTCTCCTGTGAGGCTGAAAGGAGGAATATTTCAGTCTCCCCTTTCCAAATTCCCCACAGATGAGAAATTGCAAAGAACAATCCCTCCCACAGTTACCCACACAGGCACTGAAGCACGTGCAGTAAGGTTTCCTGCAGGCATGCAGGCACCAGGGTATACAAATTCAGAGATCCTCCCTGGTACTGACATCTGGAGGTGGCCAGCTGGCACCTCTTGAGTAGCCTGAAGCACGGCATCAGTCTGCGTGACTAGACAGTCAGCAGCAATGCTGCACAACGCCCGGCCTAGCCACAGGAGGAAGCAAACCACCCAAGGAAGCTGGCTGTCAGTCCCCCTCTGCAGCACATCAGGGCATCTCCCACTTGAGCAAGAGCTTTGGAGCACCTCTGTAGTACGTGTCTCCTGGTTTTCATCCAAGGCAATTGCTTTGATACCGAGGTGAAAAGATCAGGAAGATTTGCCCTACATGTTTGTCTGTGGACCATTATCCCAGCCAACAAAAGTCAGCCTGGTTTGATTGAACTCCATGGATCTACTATGCTAGTGTGACTCAGCAAAAAATTATGTGCATGGGTGTATTTTAGAGATGCTTTTGATGTACCTGTTTGACATCTAGAACAAGGGCTTTCAGCTTTTGGTTTGCATATCCTGAGAACTGGAGGGAGTCCAAGAAAGAAATAGTTTAAGAAAAGCAAATCTTTTGTCAGGAGGTTCAAAATGTTCCATACAGGTATCAAAATCCCTTTTCAAAACCTCACCAGTCTGCACATGAAAGGAGTTTCAAAATGGTTCATGTCCAGATGACAAAGGGGCTTACATATTTAAAGGCACCACAGGCCTTATCCTCAGTGATTTAAAAACTGGCACATCTCAACTAACTTGAAAAGCCGCAACATCATCAAGGATTTGGTCCTACAGACGCAGAAACCACCTTTTATCACAGCAAGAGGAAGTTAAATACAACACACACACACAGCAGCCCCAAACCCTGCACCAGCAGAAATCAGTCATTCCACTTTTTAACGGACGTGCAATTAATTAGTGGCAAATCAACAACGTCAAACGGGAAGGGAAGAAGATGCATGCTTGATCTAAATTACGAGTTTCAAACTAGAGCTGAAAACTAAGAAAGTCAAAAAAGCAGGAACCAGAGGCTTATGGAGGACTTTTCAAGAGCAACGTATCAGTCTAAAGTTAGGATCTTTGAAAACGTTGGTATATTGATGTCACATGGAAGCAAAGTAGGATTTTTTTCAAGCTTCTGAAAAATCTTGATAGTGTAGGAGTCGGCTCTGCTGGGGCAGGGACCAAAACCAGCCTTTCGGGAATAAGGGTGACAAGATTTCCAAAGACAGGAAATCTTTGGCCTAAAGAAACATCCATACAAAGCCATATTTGCTACCTGAAAGGATACTGTCTCCCATCCTGGGCATCACCTTCCTCCCTCATAAAACAACCTCTCCCTCTGCTCTGCCAACCGAACAGATCGTTTCCCGGGAGCTTCAAACCAGAGAGAGTCAGCTGCTTTCAAACAACTGAAATAGTGGGTCTTCAACATGGATTGGAGGACTAACATACAGAAGTTGTCCTTCAAAGGGAAGGCAACCCGTGTGCCACAGCCGCACCAGGACATGCACACAAACTGCTTAGCAGTATCTTTAACCCAACCCCCAATCCTCCAAGAGGGAACAACAAGCTATTGCAACCGCACTTCAGAAAAGCTGGAGCTATGATGCTGGAAAATTTAAAAGCAAGAAAGTTCCCATTCCAAGCTCCCTCTCACTTCTAGTGCCAGCTCAAAAATACCTCAGACAAGCAAAACAAAGCATTGATGTAGGACAGATCCACCTCAAAGTAACACCACCACATTGAACGTTGCTCTGGCAGATGTTACTCCAGGTACAGTATAACCTACCTCTGGCTGCAGGAGCTCCTGTTGTGTGCTTGGACTAAGTCAAGAGGAAGGTGACTGTGCCTGCACCCATTACATCAGGTTTGCCCTGGAGGAAGATCCCAAGTGTTTCATTCCAGTACAAAGGTCTTTGAAAGTGAACAACGGACAAAGCAACACATCTGGGCATGTTGAACACTGACACAACCCTTGTTTTGTCCCAACACACGCACCTGGAATGGAGACAAGGCCAATGCTCCTCTCGTGTATCCTGTGATTAAACAGCCCATCTCCAGCTCCCTCTAGATTAACAGTTGAAAATGCATTTACTTTCTGGCTGATCTTAGAATCATAGAATGGTTTTGGTTGGAAATGACCTTGAAGATCATTGATTCCAACCATCAATTCAGCCCTAAGTCCTTCACTAGACCATGTCCTCAAGCATGACATCAGCTCGTCTTTTAAAGATGTCCAGGGATGGTGACTCAACCACCTCCCTGCACAGCCTGTTCCAGTGCTTGACAACCCTTTCAGTAGAGAAATTCCTCCTAACATCCAACCTAAAGCTCCCCTGGCACAACTTGAGGCCATCACCCCTTGTCCTATCACGAGCTACCAGGGAAAAGACACCGACCCTCCCCTTGCTACAACCTCCTTTCAGGTAGCTGTAGTGGGCAAGACCTTCAACCCATTGTAACTCCCCGAGCCAATGTGTGCTAAATAAAAGAGTCCTGATGGGTTGGATGAGGGTTATCTGCACTAAAGTGTCTGTAGACACTTATCCACTGGACATCCAGCGGCTGCCTCGGCCCACAGGGGTTTCTGCCCAGAGAAAGACCAAAGCACAGCGTACGTGAGGTGACACAGCAGCTCACTACCAGAACTAGTAGCAGGATCGCTCCTTCCCAAATCAAGAGCCTAACTTCACAGCCAGTCTATAAGCATTTTGCAGCTCAAGGATCAACCAGGCCATGCAATGGCTACTAAAACAGATGTCATAGAAGAGATGGTCCAAGTACTTTATGGGAGCCTGAAAGAGAAGCAGATGAAGGAAGGAGCCCTGGGGACATGTATCAGCTTGGAAGGCAATGGACAACAAGCTCTAGTCTGCGTGAGAGAGAAGGAAAAGTACCTTGCTTGTCTCAGGATTACAGCTGGCTATCTCTCTTCTCTGACCAAAGCTACAAGGCAGGAAGAAGCAGAAAAGAAGAAAATCTGTTGGCATCAGCAAAAGACAATTAATGCAATCGTGCTGGTCTTCCTAGGAATCCAGGCTGCTAAGTCAGCAGCCTGCCAGCCTTTGCTCCAGAACAGCAAATAAAATGAAGGACAAGATTAAAGAGGACAGGAGATGTAAGGGAATAACACACCTTGGAAAAAAGAGCAGCAGTAAACTCATCCAGGGCCACTAGAAAGTTTTTACGAGCAAGAAATCACTTTTATAAGAAGCCATGAGATACTTTTTACTGGAGCCAAGGCAGGGTATTTAACCAAGAACCTGAAATAAACAACAAAACCTGCCAAACACATGCCAAACACAAGAGCTGCCTGGCACTTTGGAGATAAACATGAAACTTTGTAGGACACTTTAAAGGGACTGGTTTTTATGAATTGTTTCACACCGAAGTTCAAAGAGGATATAAGAAGTAGGCAATACTTAACTCTATCAAAGAGGGCTTCACACACACGGAGCATCCAAAAATCAACAATGTACTTTTAATGCATGCTGGTGTACTACTAATTTAAAACTGCTCTCTTAGCTTCATACCCAAGTGATTCACACTAAAGTGCTTCACTTAGCTCTAGTGACTCCTCTTTTCACATCCCCTGCTCTGGACAATGAAGCTGCTGTTATTGTAACAGCAGCTGTGACATCATGGGTCAACACATCCAGCTTCAGAAATTCTGAGGAAAAAAAATACCACAACTGTTTTCAGCTGCCTGAAGGTTGGAAGCTTCCTCTCTTACACACATCCTGTCTTCCCGACCTCCTCAGCTGTGTTGTCCAGTCAGCACAGAGTGCCACAGGAACAAGGACCTGCCTGAAGACTCTTCTGTGGGTTTTCTTTTCTGCTTCTTCTCCTGGGAGCTGCAGAGACCAAAACAATCACAGGACAAGGTTTGATCCTTATTTCCTCTCTCAATCACTGTCATGGAGTACTCTTCAGGTTTTTCAGTATCTTGGTTTTCTTCCTTTCATCCATGGCATAGCAAGAGGGTTTCTAGCACTCACACAACTCTTCCAGGTCACTTGTACCTAAATGACCAGAACAGCTTGGGAAGACAGTTTTGTTTCCTCATGAAACAAGAGGCTGTAGCAGTAGGCTGCCATAATGGTATCAACATCAAAACAGAAACAGAGAAGGGAACAGAAATCAAATCCCCTACTCTGTGAGCATATATCCATTCTGCACCAGAAGGAGGGGAAGAGCATTGTATGGGTCTGGAGTGCTTCCCCACCCCGAGCTAGTCCCAGGGTGGAGAAGGCTGCAGGAACACACATCTCCAGACCCAGGGAGATGCGTGTACTAACAAGGGCATGAGGTCCCACATGAGGTCCTGCTGCCCCAATACTCCACCTCCAGCAGCAACCAAGAGCATGGCTAGGGAAGAGGAAGTCTAGCACAAACCTGCAGTGATACATTCCCAAAATACTCTTCCTGCCTTTTGCAGCCAGGAGCTTCCTACGCCACAGGTGTTGCTTCAGTCTGGCCTTTCAAAAACAGGCTTTATGCCACGTTTTTTCCTAGCAGTTTGAAAGCAAGTTCATTTCAACACAATGTTTTTCAAAGGATTAGAAAAAAACAACAAACCACACTAAAAGTTGTGTAACTTGAGGCTATTTTGGGTCATGCTGGATTTGCCACACTCTTCCTGGTCCACACCTCCTTCTTCCACTTACACGGACACACTCAGCATATTTTAATCAGCAAATACAGATAGAATTTTATCAGACGAGGATCTCCAACTCATGTAACACATTTAAAGCAAGACAAGTACTAGAAGCTTAGCAACAAAGGCGTTCAATGTCAAATAGGCCTAGAAGATTTTCACAGCTCTCAGTCAGAAAAGCACCAGAGCACCCTTTGGGATTCTGGCCTAAGAGCACAGTACACTATGAAAGTAGAGCAGATAGTTTGACTTGTGCAAAGAGGACTTTGGTGGAGCTGAACCAAGATCTTGGTGGCTTGCATGCTCTATCCGCAGGCCTGGGATTTCGCTAGCGTGGAGGAAAAAGATCCCAGAGAAATCAGCGACCTTTCAGTTTCTAAGGGTCCTTATCCTCACTGATAATGTCATGGTTTTTTGCATCACCCTCTGCTCTCATTGCAGTAAGCAAGGTCACAGAATGCACCAGACTTTCCAGCTAGATCCCAGGTTCATAGCCTGTATCAGCCACAGCCAACCTGCAAAGTGTTTTCTTTCCCATCACCTCTTTGAGTGACATTTCTAGTTAGAAACACTTTAAATCATCTATCACAGCAGTATCAAGGCTCTCCCTCTCTGTCCAGCTCACACTGGCTATTCTCACAAGCAGAGCTGACCAGACTTCATTCATTCATGGTGGTTGAATGAGATGAGTGACCCCAACTCCACACGCTGCCTAGATCTTGTCACCTAACTGTGGCCTGACCTTTCTTTTCTCTAAAGGAATTAAAAATGCTTTGTGTCAAGAGACAAAGGCTCCCCATTACTTGACTGGTATCACGCACCTGCTACAGGTCACTGTAGTGCCAGTCCCATCGGTGCATGTTTTAGAAGGGCTTTTTAGGGTGTCCTACTTCTAGGAAAACTCTCAGTCAAGCACAGCACATCATCCACATCATGCACGGAGCAGCCAGAAAGCCAGAAGTCAAACTAGAAGAGGTCTGGGTGAAGATCTCAGTTGCTTGTGGAAACAGCTGCATCCCACATCCCACTTACCTAAACACCTGCTCAAAGGCTGCCTCAGCACTGAGAGGCAGAGATTCATCTGTCCCATGAGGGAGTCTTTACCTCTCACACTGCAGGAAATCTACTGACAGGCATGTCATGTTTTAGTGGTTGAAGCATCACAGCAGTGATTGCTCTCACAGAACACCAAATATATTGTAATGCTGGTCTGATTTCCTCCATGGGCCACTCTCTCAGTGGTGGTACAAGGCGTGGAAGTCATGGCAGCTTAGCACCCTTTTGTCTTCCCTGTACAACCCACTAAGCCCTCACTTATAGGTGGTGGCAAAGAGGTAGCTGTGTTCCTGCCCACTGCAGCACACCAGGGTCTGGCGTGTTGTGTGCTGCAGGGATCAGACCCACCACTTAGTAGAAGTAAGGAGCAATGAGGACATCATTACCTCCCACTGTCTGAGCAGAACACAGAAGAGACACTATTTGAAGAGATAGAAAATCACAAACAGCTGCAAGCCAATGAGTCACATGGACATATGGTAGCTGCTACTTTAAAAGACTCCAGAACAAAAAACTTAAGTACGTGAGAAAACTAAATCCTCAACCTGAGTCAGTCCACAATCTCCACTGAAGTTGGCTGCTGCAGATCAGTGGCTCAGTGAGACTGATGTGGTACGTTATAGGAAGTCGTTAAACCAATTAATTGAGGGAGAGCTTTACATTTTCAGTGAGGCTCCACTCCATCGCTGCTGATGGGAAGAGTCAGGATCATATCCCAAGCAGGCTGTTTTCTAACTACTGTCGCTGAGAATCAGAGACAGCACACTTCACTGGCTGTCTCTGGAGAAAGGTCTGTCTGAAGGGAGACACAAGCGTTCTCCAAATTGCAAGGAAATCTTGGTGAAAACAGCATTAAATATTTAGGGTCCAGTCCCTCTCAACTGCTCATCTAGCACCTTTTACTCACATTTCACATGAGGCAACCCCCACATGCAAGATAAACAGGTAACTTTGTTCCTTCAGCATTTATTTGCAGGTTAGCTGCTGGGCAATGCAAGTGCCCTTTGTCAATTCAGATTCATCAGCTCTCTAAAATTATTTTCAGGCTACAAAAGGACAAGAGAGATGCAAAGTCTGGGGTCTACAGAACTTGACTTGTCATCTGTTCAAGCCAGAAAGAGCTTGACAAGGGTCCTCCCAGCAGCTGTTTGAGCAGCGATCAGTGCCATAGGTTCCTCTCAAATATTTTGTCTACAAATTGTGGATCTGCTAACCTTGGCTTAGATCTAGGACTATTTTTAGAAGCTTGAATAAAAAGCAGTCATCCAGTGGAGTGCTTTTCACTTCCCATTTTAGATATTACATCCTTAGGCTGAATGTAATCACCTGCTGAGCAGTTCAAGGTCAACTCATATTTCAGCCATCACATCACCCCATTCCACCTCTGCACTGACATCTCACCAGACTTGTCCCAAGAGTTAGTGTCTTTTAAAGTTGAACGTGAAAGGTCTGCAGCCTCTACTCACCCATCCTTAGAGAGGTGATGCCGGAAGAAGTCATTGGCTGCCAGTTTGATAGCCTTTTCTGGTGTCACTAGAGTCAGGTTGACTGCAGCCCCTGGGCAAGAGAAAGGGGAAAAGGCCATTGGAGAACGAGAATAAAGGAACAGTTAACTGGATCTTTCAGGAATGTGTTGAACTCCTGCTCAAAACCAAGGACTGATGAAAGAGAGCTCCCAATGCACCAAAAGGGTTTAGAAACATGAAACACTACTGGAAATTAACAGAATTTCTGCCTCCCAACACCTTTGGCTTTTGAAACCATCCCCTGATGTGTTTCTACTCCATTTCCAATACGTTTTTCGTAATTTCTTTAGCCCTACTACCACCTCCCACCATGTACGCATGCATTCTCTTCTCTCATCCAATGATGCATCCCTATAAATCCAGAAGGATACAGATCAGACCTTCAAGAAAGGAATTACAAGTTGGATCAATAACCACTTCCAACCCATTTGCAAATACTTCGTGATGCTGAGAAGGAAAAGCATCCCACCCCACCTTTTTGCCAGTGTCTTTGCCCCACCACCACCAAAAGCAGAACAGTTTACTTACGAGGCAGCCCAGAAGAGGCAGAGCCACTGAGACCTGGACTCAACCAACCAACTGGCTCGCCTGCACAGAAGTCAGCCAGCTCTAGACCACCCCTTGGAGCTAAGCGGCTTCCCTTGTATATCACCACTGGGTGTCACTCTCAAACAGCCACCGTTCGAGTGGCTTTTTGTCCACCACAAGCTGCAGTGTGCAGAAATTCCCCTATGAACACTGTGGCAAGGCTTGCTGGGGGACCTGGGGTGGAAACAAGCCTTGGTACCCCCACCACTCGATGGAGCGCCCTTTTGTCAGGAGCAACAAACAGCAAATCCCTGTATTGTGCCTGCCACAATGAAAGGTCTGCGTGGCCTGGCTGGCTGCTGTGGGACATAGACACAGATATTACCACAACACAGCAGCCGGGAGGCAGCTTTCAAGCTGCCCTGGGGAAAATGGGGTGAGGGGAGGCCCAGTCCATTCTAAGCATACTGGCTTTTGCACCATTAGATTAATGCTCCAGAATATTCTTCTCTCTTTAAATGTTATGGCTCAAAAAGTCCTCCAGTGGGTGACTGCAAGCTCTCCCTGCCTGCACTGAAGCATGCTGAGCTCCAAAGCCCTCCAGAGGAGCTTCGCTCGAGACTTGCTAATGGCCTATGAACACCTCTGCAAGGACGAACACAAACACTGGGGTAAACCTTTTGCATTTATGCTCGCTCTAACATCAGTGCAAAGGGTTTACTGAAAGAAAGAAAACAAACTTCAGACCATTAAGCAAGAAGTACACTTCCACATGCTGACCTCCTCCAGAAACCATGAGGCATTCACAGCAATTTCTCCTTCAATTGCAAATAAAGCAGAAGGTAAAAACATACAATATACAGCCAAAAGTTAATGAACCTGGGATTTCTCCTACATCTTTGATATTTTCAGTAAAGCTGCTTAGCAGAGAATGGATAATCCCTGTCCTCAATAATCCATAACAGCTTCAATTCACCGGCGGAGGAGCAATTAGATACTTCAGCTGCTGGCTGTATGCTTTCCATGGTGTTTTCTACATAGTTCTTCCATTCTAGCTATGCCAATGACTGTTTCCCAAATCAAAGCTAACCCTAGCCTACAGGCAGCGCTACATGTACCAGAAGCAGTGACAGGCAAAAAGAATGCAAAAATAAATTGCAATTATTAAAAAATAGAAAGCATTTTGAAAAGAAGTACAGAAGCACTACAAAGAACTAAATCAAGTAGAGGCAAAACCAGTTGTTTGCCAACTGAACCTTGTAAGTGCCCTCCTCTCACCAAGCCTTGTGTTTTGTCATTAAAACACATTTCTCACAGAAGCCCTTATATACCACCAGCAACTCAGGTAACAGGGGGACTGAGTCACCTCCAGTGCGGCACTGGTGCACATGGGAGGTATCAGCAGAGGCCAGGGAAGGCTGCCACACTACCACAGCTAAACTGTAGCTGCTCTCCAAACACCATCAACAGCAAAGGGCACTTCCCCGGCCTGATCTAGGCCTTTGGCTCCCACCAGGTAGGCTAAAGGGCTGGCTTGCAAACAGCAGTGCAACTTTTCAGGACGCATGCTGGGATCTACAGGTGGCTTCTGGATGGACCATGGCGGGGAGCAGAGGCAGCACCTCTTCAAAATCCCCTTCTGCTAGTGTCCACATGGTCCAGGAGCCCACAGGCACCACAGATTCATTCACATCTGTGTCTGAAGGGAGCACACTGTCATTCCTGAGCACAGGCAGGCCTAGACAGCACCATCCAGCTTTGAGGCACTGCTGCTACCTAGATGTTACAGAAACAACATGAGAAAAAACTCCTCCTTTTCTTCCTCTCCCGAACAAATCCAAGAATCTCTAACTCTGGAGGAAGAACTCCAGGGAAATGTTGGGTCTGTCTTATAAATCACACTATTCAGAATAAGCAACTCATACAGAGCAAGGACTGCCTGCCCCCATGCAGCCCTTAAGAGATGATTCGTAGAAAAGCATCCTACAAGCTCAAGCCTCTCTCCTGCCCACACTGAGGAGATTTGATTCACATGTGGAGAAGACCTGAAGTCACACAGTGGGAATGGCTGTCCCCAAGCAGACTCTTTGTGTCCTCCAACAGAGGCCAAGTGCCTTACAGGGACAATGAACACGCTTGCAACTCCTCCATGGGGCACAGCAGCTGCCACTTCAGCACATTAACATATAATCCTCCCAATTTCAGCTTAAAGGCATAAAATAAGAGCTTGTGAGTCATGCAGCAACTTCTGCTGGGGAACTGTGACAGATTGAAGGAGCAACAACCAATCCCACCATCCGATTTCCATCTTCCCCTGTCTGCAAGCCTGAGTTCTCTTTATCTTCCCAGAAAATTACATTCTTCATGAATCTTGGATGCATTTTGCTCACCCATCCTCTCCCTGAGCAAGCTCCCCAGCAAGCAGCCTGCAATTGCATATTTACAGCCAAAGTTAAAGCAGGCTCTGTTCCTGGCTAGGAACACAAAAGCAGCCAGCTTCTGGGAAAAATCATGGGGGCGACACGTCACTGGTAGCATTGAAGATGGAGTTTGCCAGGGTTCCTCAGGGTTGTTTGTCTTGTTGCCTGCTCCCAGGAAAGCTGGCACAAAGCAGCCAATCCATCCCCAGCATCCACTCCACACCCCCGAAACGCCCACTAGCAAGTTGGGCAAGAGAGGCTGCCTCAACAGCCAGTGCCTGCTCCCAGGCCAGCCAGCCACGGCATCTGTTTCCTTAGGAGCTACGGAAGAAGTGGCAAGGGACACTACTGCTACCAGCAGCAAGGCGCCAGCATCTCTGGACTCCCGCTTGAGAAAACAAAGAGCAAGGACTCACCTAATCAAAACAGTATTTTATCCAGGCTTTATCAGTGAATGAGTGCCACAAAGAATGTTATCTGAATGCCTCAGAGATAAAAACTGCATATTCAGGCAATTGAATACCACTATATAAAATGAACCAGAGTTCAGCATCAACTAAGCCAGCTGGACTGTGCTGAAAGCCAAGAAGGTATTCCACACTTCCCTCTACTATGAGTAAAGTCAGAATTTGGCCTGCTGTTCCTCTCTCCTCAAAAATCCTTAAAAACTTTCAAGGATTTTGTGTTTAAACTAGAAAAGGTATAACGTCAACTCACTGCTGCAATGGACAGCCTGAGCCAAGGAGCCACAAGATTTCTAGCAGGTTAGCATATAACAAACAGCTTAAGCTCCACCATAAGCCAACCTCTGATTTTTCTTACCACCCCAAGTGAGTTTTTATTGGGGGCAGGTTTGTTTGTTTGGTTTTTAATTGGAGCTTGAACAAAGCATTCAGGTAGTTTTGGAGATAAGCTACCAACTAGATGAGACAGCAGCCTGACGATATTTGTGGTGGGGTTTGACATAAATTAAATCATCAGCCACAAAGATAGACACTTTAAGAGGTCTGGTACTGCCCCTTCACAAGTTACCAGCATTCAGGAATGCTTGACAGACAGCTAGTTTTGGAGATAAGCTACCAACCAGATGAGACAGCAGCCCGACGATATTTGTGGTGGGGTTTGACATAAATTTAATCATCAGCCACAAAGATAGACACTTCAAGAGGTCTGGTACTGCCCTTTCACAAGTTACCAGGCCCAAGCTAGGAAACACACATACAGTCCTGAAACAAAGTCCAGCAGCTTCGCTTAAACTGCCAGTAAAGATGAACTTCAGTAAATGGGAATGTTTAACACCAAAACAGCCATGGAGAAGATTCAAGCCCTTAGTGGTGGAGAGCTGAGCAGACATCCAGTGTAGAGGAGTTTATTTTCAGAAACAGCTGCACCTTTCAACATCTTAGGATATTGCTACATTATTGCTTTATAAACCAGAGATTCTGGCCTTTTCCTCCTGCTTATGAACCAGCGCTTCCAATGCAAAAGCTGCACGGTGCCAGACTAAGCTTTACTTACCTCTGTACATGCCAAAGTAGCCTTCCGACCGAATTGTTTTAATGAGGCAGTCAGACCTGCAAACAAAACAGAGATAAACCATGAGCTCAAAGGTGGGTGAGAGCAGAAGAAAAAACAAACACAAAACAAGTCTCAGAGTGGTTTTCATTTATGATCTGTCAGCAGAACCCTGAGCTGAGACGTGGCTCAGCCGCTGAATGCGCTATTGTCCAGGCCTGAGTCCAGTTTTAGCCCCTGATTCACAGGGGTTTTGAAACCCACAGCTCACCCCGCACATGCTGTCTGCTTTCTACAAACACAAAAGGGAAAAGCGTCACTGCAAGGGCTGTTTATCCAGGGTCCTCTGAGGCAAACACGCATGAGATGCTCTAACAAGCAGATCCCCATGCACATATTTTTAAATCCAGCTCTGGAAGGGAAATAAGGGGGGCCAAAGCCCCTAATGCTGACTTGCTTGACATACTCCATGAAATTCGACACAAGGCACATAAGCACTAGATGACCTGAACACTCAGTCATCTGTGACCTCCCATGAAGATAAAAAGCACTTCCTGTTAACACATCAGGTGCTGAGCACTCAGACTCTTGCCCTGGTGAGAGCATGGCAGGATGTCGCGGAAGTTTGCTCCAAGGGGAAAACAGTTGCCTTCTTTGTTTCAACAACATTCACTGCAAATGGGAAAACTGCCTAGAATGCCGGAATGGCTCAAAGCTTCTCAAAGGCACAGACAAACACCTAACAAATCCAGAGCCACAGTTCAGGAAGCCAGCAAAGATGCCCTGCCTGGGAGACCCTCCAGGTCCCTCTCCAGATCACGGCTGCATGAAGCCTGAGCATTGGCTGAAGCTTGTTTTGGGGTCTTTGGGAAGGGACAGGTACTTGCCATGGCCTCAGGGGAAGGAAGAGGTACACATGCATGCATATGTACGTAATTAAGGGGCAAAAGGCTCTTTTAAGTATCAATAAGAGAAGTGTAGCAGATGAAAACAAGAATAAATTTCTAAGACGTTTGGCAACACAAGGAATAAACTTCATCTCTGCTCTGTAGTAGTGCTGAGGTGGGAAAGAAGCAAACAGAGTTCTCTCAAGGGCTCTATTGCCCTGCTTGGGTCAAGACTGTTCTAGGCTGCCCCACATTATTTGTGAAGAGCTCCATCCTGCACTGCTGCCAGTTGCAGCAATGAATTTCCCCTCTCTGCTGAGGCTCCCCTCATCCTTTGGAACCACATCTTTCACACATCCCACCCCACCTCCAGCAGCTTGGACATGTCCATCTCATTCATAGAACCAGAGAATGCTTTGGGTTGGAAGGGACCTTAAAGATCATCCAGTCCAACCCCTGCCACGGGCAGGGACAGCTCCCACCAGTCTCCCCAACACATTTGCAAACCTTAGAAATCTCAGGGCACCTTTACCAGAGATGAGGTATCCTGGCACGCACTCTCAAGGGGAGCTTACAAATCCTCCATCCTGTCCAAACTCCTGTTGCTGTTGCCTATCAGGTCAGGGGAGAAGCAATCCTCACAGAGCAGAGGCAATCAGCAGGAGTGGCAGGAGCAGAGCACAACAAAAAGGAGAGGCAAGGCAAGACAGGAGGCCACATCCTGCTGGCACACAAATAATGGAGGAAGCAGAGAGTGCTGTAACTGCCAAGGGAAGCATCAGTCTGCCGTGGCACACCAGAGACTACAGCCTAAGCACATGTATAATTAGATGTCGTCAGTGAGAGCAAGTAGGCCCAGAGACTTGAACCATCACCACACAGAGCATTTCCTTCCTAATCCCACTCTGCCTCAAATTCTCCTGGGCAGAAAAGAAGAAAATAATGGTGAAGAGGAGCAGGGCACAGGTAACACTACTTTTGAACAAAGTGGCAGGAAGACAGGACACACGTCATCTGTCCCAGTCCCTTCTACTCCCTCAATGACTTTGACCAGTACTTCTGGAAAATGAAGGCCTGACTCTGGTTCCTAGGATAACGCATCCTGTGCTGAGTGTGGTATGCATTCCCACAGTAGGTACACAGCCCTAAGCATTCCACACAAAACCCAGGTGAATTTGGTGGGCTGGATACATTAATGCCTTCTTTTCCTACAGCCTGCAGCATTTTACTTCATTTGAACACAGGACTGCTGGGGTAACTACAAAAGGTCTGCATGCAGTGCTCTAGACTGGGAATGCACGACTGCTTCCCCTTTTTAAAACTGACACAGCAAAGGAAGGGATAGCAACATCCAGTATGAGAGTCATGGAAACAGAAGAGAGGCAGAAATTCTTTCATGCATCTGATTGTGGTCCAGCAGAGAACCAAATGGGGCTCCTTGTGTTTTGGTCCTGAGCCCTGACAGCAGTGAACACATTGCTCCCCAGCAAAGGATGCAAACAGATGTGCCCTCTGCATAGCTCTTGCCTGCTGGACTCAGCAGCCTGAATAGCTGCTTTATTTGTTTGCTCTGCTCTAGCACAACTTAGTTCAAGATTGTCCCCTGGGTTTCCTGGAGAGAGCCCAGTTTCTAGAAATGCTGCACTCATCTGAAAGAGGTAACAAAGTGGAAGGACTCCACAACAAAAGCCCCGGGGATGCTGCCTCTGCGGGCGGTACTCACATGCTGGTGTACATCCGCTGGCCATTCTGCTGGTTCTGCAGGCGAGTTTTTGCCAGGTCAATGGGAAATACACAGGTGACCCCGATCAGCCCAGCTATGCCTCCATTGATCAGCTTGGCAGGTAAACTGTAAGGGGACGAGATGCAGAGAAACAGATGTCTTAGCACTGGGATAAACAACAGGGGAGGGAAAGCAGAAAAAAACCCAACTCTTTTGTATGACCAGAGTTAACACATCACTGTGTGACAAGGCTGTTCCCACTCAGCATGAAGAGAGCTCTGCCTCAAGGCAAAGCTTGGCCCTTGCTGTACATAAAGGGAAGGAGGGGAAAGCAGTACATAGCATCAGGACAAACCACTGAGAAGTGAAAGGGAGGCAAACAGCTAAGTCACACATCACTAAGAACAAGAAAAAACCCTGTTCTCCAAGACCCAAACGTTCATGTTGTCCCTAGATGAGAAAAGGCAGAGTGCTGGACCGTCTACCACGTGGACAGGCTTCAGTTAAGGTCTGATGGCATCCAAGCCAGCAGGTTTACTGGCAAATGCTTTTCAGCACCGCAATCAGATACGCATCTAATGAGAGGTTCATGACATATCAGCTGCCACCATCGTGTGGGCCCATCAGAAGCACCCAGCTGGCAGCTGAGGAGCAAATGGCTGCAGCTACAGGAAAGTGTTTCCAGATCCACTGCCTGGGGCGAGGGGAACATGCACAAACCAGTAGCCTGGCGAAACCACCAGACTGGCAGCCTGCATGGCCACAGATGCACAGATGTGAGCTCATACCTCCTGGGGAAATCAAAACCTGGCTAGCTGCACGTGCTTTCAAAGCACAGGGCTTTTTCGGCTCACCTTTGTGCTTCCACAGGGAATTCTTGCAAGTGGTTCTGAGTGAAAGCCAGATCAGCCAAACGTGGGTTCCCAGCAAATTCAATTATGAAACATGTCCAGCACTTACATGCTTGATAAACCACTACACACAAAGTCTGTTTGAGTCAGCTCCCTCCAATAAAGCACACAATAAGGCTCCCTGAACACAGGATGTGTCAGATACTAAACTGATGGCTGACAGCTAGATTGCAGCTGGGTGAGCCAGTGAGGCTGAGTACCCCCACAGGGGGAGCAGGCATGCTGCCTTTCATGATGGTGACATTATGCTCTGGATAGGAGCACAGACCACATTACCCACTGGAAGCAACAAAGCTGAGACTGGCCATGGCACGGTGGGGGAAGCTCTGCAAAGGCAGCTCCCCTCAGCAGCACTGCAGAGCACACTACATTGAGGGGCAATTGCAGAGAGGATCATCAAGCAGCCATGCTGAAAGAGCTGCCTCTCAGCTCCAGGCTGAAGGGAAAGGCATGATATGGAGACTCAGGGTTTTGACCTGAAGTGCCCCTGGGGGAAGCAGGCAAAAGAGAGGGGGGCAAGTCTTTGCCCACAAGTGCTAAGCACAACCTTGACACTCCAGGAAATGTCCTTCAGCCTCTGCTCTCCTGCTGCTAGAGCTACTTCCTCCTCAACACCCGTACTGATATGACACACACGTGAAGCCCCAGGGCTGGTACAGCTGGAAGAAGAGGTGCCAAGGACAGGCAGACCTGAGCTCAGCCCACATCCCCAAACAAGACGGTGCCGACCAAGATTAAATCAAGCACAGTATGTCAGAGAGGCAGGCCCAAATCAGTGCATGAGCTCAGTGCAGGGTCAGACTGCAAGATCTCACCAGCTCGAGACTCTGTTGCCTCAGGGATCTTTGCACCACAGTCTGAGAAGGGAATAGATTTGCCTGCAAACTCCTACGTTCAACTTGTTCTCAGGACATGGGAAAATTTCAAACAGTAAGCTTCACATCATGGTGCTCGCCTTACTTAACCCATAGTCACGCTGAAAAAGGAGGTCAGAGACCAGATAAAAGCATATCAAGATGGACCACTGAGAATGAAGATGTTTTGAGACAGGATTACATCGGCCTCCCCAAACTCAGCTCCAAAGTCACTACTGCCAGGTCACAGACTACAAGGCACAACTGGTGCCCCTTTCCAGCCCCAGCACTGTCATTGCTTCTCTAACTGTCCCCAGAACACCCAGAGCAGGTAGACACTTGCCTCTCTCAACCTGTTCCAACAGTGAAATCATCACAAGGTTTCTACCAGGTGGGAGTGAGACAGACATGTGGCAAACATCTTGCCTTCTGGCATCGTAACTGCAAGACTCCCCAATTTCAGCAGACCCCAGCCATAGAGGGGAATAATCTGACATGCCCAAGCAAGCCAAAAATTTGGGCAAAATGTGCTGCAGAGAACCTCCTACTCCATCTGTGGGCAAGAAACCCTTGTTCAACAACCTCATCACACCCGAATCCAACCATCTGTGTTCCTCCATGTGCACTGCAGAGCGAGGCAGAGATAGACTATACAGCAGAACCTGCAAGACCCTGAGTGAGATCAAGTTCCACATGCACTGCTGCAGAAACAAAAGTACCCTTGATATCACCTTGCAGCAAACCACTACTGTGGATTTTAGTCTTTTGGTATCAATCTTGTTTTGCTAAGGAATGGCAGATGCATGCTGCAAGGGCAGAGGGGTTCAGTAGGTCCTCCAAGCTTAAACAGAACTCCTTGCCTTGGCTGCTTGTGGCTGCTGCAGACTTGTGGTAGCATAGATGGGAGGGACTACCTAAGTGGGAGAGGCGATGAATTTGGGGCACAGAGAAGAACTTGAGACAGAGGACACTGCACTTGAATCAAAAGCTATTTCCCTTGTGATCCCACTTTTCACCTCAGTGCTCTCTGCTCTCTCATGGGATGAGAGTCCATTGTGCCTGGTCTACCTGTCCTATTTAGCTTCTGCACAGCTTCTGCCTTTCACTACTTAGGTGTGCAGGGCTTAGTGAAACAGGGACAACACAAGCTAGCACACAAACAGGACATGGAGCTGTTGGAGCGGGTCCAGAGGAGGCCATGAAGATGATCAGAGGCTGGAGCACCTCCTTTACATGAACTGACTGAGAGAGTTGGGGTTGTTCAGCCTGGAGAAGAGAAGGCTCCAGAGGGACCTTATTGCAGCCTTCCAGTTCCTGAAGGGGTCCTACAGGAAAGCTGGGGAGGGACTTTTTACAAGGGCAGGTAGCGATAGAATGACGGGGAATGGTTTTAAGCTGGAAGAGGGGAGATTTAGACCAGATATTAGGAAGAAATTCTTTCCTGTGAGGGTGGTGAGGCACTGGCCCAGGTTGCCCAGGGAAGCTGTGGATGCCTCCTCCCTGGCAGTGTTCAAGGCCAGGTTGGACAGGGCTTTGGGCAGCCTGGGCTGGTGGGAGGTGTCCCTGCCCATGGACTGGGTGAGCTTTAAGGTCCCTTCCAACCCAAATCATTCTATGATTCTATAAAAATAAAGCCACTTGCTCAGTTTTACACAAGAAGGATAGAAAGGCACTCCAGTTCTCCTAGTTCTGCTCCTCAGCCCTCCTAACTCGTCCCTGTAGCCAGCAAGCTCCTGTTCACACTGCCAAGAGCACATCAGAGGGGCTGTGGAAGATTTTGGAGGATGCATCTCCCCTCCCAGACATCCGGTCGTTTTGCTCCACTGAGGCTATCAGGACTCCATGGAGTTGAATCTCAGTGTGTCCTTCATGGGTGTAAGAGAAGAGCGCTAAGCGCTCTCCAAATTGGGTAACTGATGATGGGCAAATCTAGGCACTCCACAATGCTGTCTTGTTATCAGCACAGCTCAGGACTGTTTTCATTTGCAGAAGGCAGGCATGCAGGAAGATACCCTGATCATTGCAAGTGCTGAGAAGGGTCACTCCTCTTGCCTGTAGCATTCAGGCATTGCTAAGTCCTGACCCTCTGTCACCAGGTTTCAATCACCCACTGACACCCCCTGTTCTGAGCTGGTAACCTGGAAAAGTAATGTTAGAAGAGAAGCACAAAAACCCCACAGGAAT